ATTTTAACTTTTAGCTATTGTTTTGAATATTTTAGCTTTTAGCTACTCTTTATGAGTTACAGCTTAGCTATGGATTTTATAATTTTAGCTAATGTGTTAAAATATTTAGTGTTAAGCAAATCGTAGCTAACTAGAGCTTCTAGCTAGAATTTTTTTTCTTTTTGCTTTGTTACGGTTTTATGAATCTTAGGGTTTTATCTACAATTTTAGCTTTTGGGGAGTGGTGGCGCAGAGGTTAGAGAGGGTGGGCCTGTGATCGGAAGGTCACCAGTCCAACTCCCCATACAGACATCAAAATGTGGGTGAAAGGTGAAGCACCCACACCTGTCTTCATCCTCATTTACCCCGCTCTGGGCCCTTGAGCAAGGCCCTTAACCCCCACCATCGGCTCCAACAGGTGCCCTAGATGCAGCGCTGCTCCACTGTGGTAGCTCGGTGTCTGGTTGTGTCAGGAAGAGCATCCGCCGTAAAAACAACCGCCAAGTCTTCATGTGAGTGAGTTCACTGTGACGACCCCTGAAGCAGGGAGCAGCCGAAAAAAGAAAATCTATCATTTTAGCTTTTATAATGGTTTTGCTAAATTTAGCTTTTAGCAACAATATTGATACGTTTTTAGCTTCTATTTTTATGTGTTTAGGTTTTAGCTTCTGTATTGTAGCTTCTAGCTATCATTTAGCTTTTTTATTTTTGTCTTTAAGCGACAGTGTTGCTAATTTTAGCATTATGTTTACTATTTTTTAGCAATGGTTTAGCTAGTTTTAGCTTTTGTTCTGCTTATTTTAACTTTAACAATTCATTTTTCCACAAACGTCAGTGAAGTCGCTCGGTGCCGTCATAAGGATGTCGTGGGAAATGCAGTTCGTCCGGTCTGGTTTTCTGTTTTATTGACATGCCAGGCCCTTTAAACAACAACAAATAAAAAAGAAGAGACACATTTTCAAAGTTTGTACATTTAGTGAAGGTTAAAATCTGTTGTGTACATTTCAATATAATGTTCCAGTGGAAGGGACGTCTGCTTTGGGTCGGTGTGAATGAGCAGACGGCAAAAAGAAAATACAGTTCTAATATCTGCAAAAAAGCATTTTGGGCCTAAAGTCAAGTTTTTAACAACCTGCTGAGTCACCAGATTTAATTCAAGTATCATCAGAGTTTTATTTGAGAACTGACATCATGTTTCAAAAAGTCCTACAATGTTTAGGTAAAATGATAAAACACGGAGAAGTGTTTAAAAAGGCCCTCGTACGTGTTCGTCATGCTTTAACTTCATATCAGGAAGGTTTTATGTACCCTTAAAGATGGCTACGCAGTGAAGGGGTCTAGTTAGTAACCTTGGTTTTCTAAGAATGTCAGACATGTTCATTTGTTAGTGTTTTAAGAGTGTAGATTTTATTTGTGTGTCTCGTCTCCCTAAAAGTGTCCATCAACACACGCTTGATCGTTCATGCTAAAATGGTGCAGACCGGCACTAACTGTGACCTCCGCTATTCTAAACGTGCTGCAGGGATCTCTGTCCCACACGTCCAGTGGGGTTTTGTCCACACAAGAAAACTTGTCAACAGAAATGAGACGGGACATACAGATGCAGTGACATTATAAGCAGCGTCTCTGTTAGTTGTGGACAATCCAACGCATCCTGACACATTCTTGTCCTTATCGTCTGCTTGGTCGCCCACACAACAGAGACCGCGATGGCTTCTTGGCTCTGCAGGTCAGAACTACATTTCCCCTGATTGCAGTCGACGCTGCAGATCTGCAGCGTCTCTGAGGAGCGCCGTCTCCAGTCGGTGTTTGCAGCAATGTGTGTTTTCTATGAGGTGTTCCCAGGCAGTGTGCTGTAGGTGACGCACGAGTCCATCTACTTCTCATCTTCATCACCTTCGCTCATGCTGCTGATGGAGGCCGAGGCTCCTTTGGGGGAGGTCGGGGGCGAGGGCCGGGCGTTGTACCAGCGGGCCGGGGGTGACGGAGGAGATGGGGAGCGCAGGGGGGACAGTTCGCGAGGAGGACTGTTGCAGGGAGACTCTCTGGGAGACAAGGCGTAGGACAGCATCCGACTGCTGCGCTCCTGAAACACTTGTTTCTGTGTTTTAAGAAACACGGATGAAGAAGAAGCACTCGCATCACGGTTTGAAAATGTAACACGTCGCTCTTCTTACCCATGTCCCGTCAGGGCCGAAAAGTTCCAGGAAGTTTCCGATGAACTCTCGAGATTTTTCCTCCCATTTCTGAATGAGGTCGTGACTCTTCTCCTCAACACGGTAAACAAAGTGTTTGCTCTTCTCCTCAACGGTTCGAACCTTCTCCTTCATGCGATCCACTTGGTTCTGTAGCCGATACTTCTTCTCCTAAAGTGGAAACATGTTAGGAAAGGCATTAAAAACGGTCTCAAACAGACTTTGCTGAGAAACAAAAACCCTTTTAGATGTTTGTTTTTGCACTGGGTCCAACGGCCTCAGGGTTCGTTTTGACCCAAGGGCAGCAGGAGGGTGAACTCCGGTTTGACTCGGTGTCCTGAAATGAAGCCCCTGCAGCAGAGTGGTGGTCTTACATTGATGTAGCTGACGTTCAGCTCCTTAGCTGTGTAGCCACGCTGAAGATTGCGTCGAGCGTAGACGTCGTAGTCTCGGACGATTCTAGTGATGATGTCAGAGGTTGAGATTCCCTCTGTCCGCAGTGTGGGCACAAACATCCCTGGAAAAAACAAACGTCCTTTCACTACAAGCTGTGGCTCATTTTGTAGATGAAATAGTTACCGAAGTCCAACCCTGACCTGCCTCTTTGATGTGTTTGTAGACGTCCTCACTTCCTGCTGAGGAGTATGGGATATCATCGTGAGCTACGAAATCGATCTGAGAAACAAATCAAAGGACATGTACGTTGGAAGGCACAACACTGACACAAACAAAAAGTAACAAGACTCAAGTGTCTACAGGATTTCAGTAGGGTCATAAGGGTCAGGTCATAAAAACATGAGTCCAGGGTGCCTTATCAATAAGTCCTTCAAAGTGCTGATAAGAGGACTGCTGGATTCCATCGCTATATGATGATGGGCTATAAAAGCTCATCATTGACCCGTGGCAGCCGGTCCACAGGGGCCGGTGAGGCTCGACCCACAAAGGAGTTCCTCCTGATAAACAACGTAAATTACTTATTTACTGAGCTTGCTGTGTATTTAACAATTTTCAGTCAGGTCATCTGGACAGTTTCTTTTTTTTTTTTTTTGCTGAAACGTTTCACCTTCGATCCAGAAGGCTTCATCAGTCAAGGAAACACACAGCAAAACTGATTCTTCCCCCAAACAGCTTACTCCAAAGTGGAACAAACCAGTTATGTTGGTGCTAAGAAGGTCTTTGGCACGCCCCCTCCTGTGTTGCCGGCCCTCTTCCTCGTCGACAGTCATGTCAAACTGGTTCAAAACCAAAAAAGTCCATGCTCAATAATCCAGGTATACAATCCAACAATTTTCAGTCAGGTCATCTGGACACTTTCTTTTTTTGGTGAAACGTTTCGCCTTCCATCCAGAAGACTTCATCAGTCAAGGAAACGCACAACACAAAACTGATTCTTCCCCCAAACAGCTTACTCCAAAGTGTAACAAACCAGTTATGTTGGTGTTAAGATGGTGTCCAGATGACCTGACTGAAAATTGTTGGATTGTATACCTGGATTATTGAGCATGGACTTTTTTGGCTTGCTGTGTATTGTTTTGTTTCGTGTATTTTTAAACAATTTAGACAATTTTAAGTGGAATTTAAAATGATGTTTTTGTTATTCATCCCTCAGTTTTTTACCGGTACTTATTTACCATTATAAGGCTGTACCGTTCAACGACCTGCGTTCGTCAAGCGGATCCGAACGTGTGGCCAGTGATCCGAACAGGCAGGTCCAATAGTTTCATTTGGGGCATTTGGGTTTTAATGCACTGATATAACCTCTACCTAGACCTGATGTGACCTCCAACCCAGGAATAGCTGCAGTGAAACCTGCTGAGACCAACAGTGGAGATATTCACTTTTAAATCCATTTGGAGCAGACAGGAGAAAGAACTGGGAAAAGTCCAAGAACAGGAAATTTCTACCATTATGGTTGGACCTTATTTAAACAGTTCTGTTGCTTGTGTGTGTGTGGTGGGTCAGTGGTTGAAGCAGGGGTCTTGTCTTTCTGGGTCTGAGTCCCAGTTGAATCTTCTATTGGATTTGGTGATGATATATTGTATCATCATTTTTCACTTTTATATTAATTTGGAGTTACTTCACTGATTTTTTTCCTCCCATTTAACTGCCGGCGTGACGTCATGCAGCATGGCAGCACTGACGTGAGCTCCGCTTCGACTCACTCTTCTTTGTTTCTGTTGTTTATGTTTCAACTTTTTGGCACCTACACTGCACATCCACACTACGGGTATGACTGCCATGCACTTTTGTATCGCTGCCTTTCCATTCTGCCATTGTGGTTCAGTTCACAGCCCCCTCCCCACCTCAGGCTGCAGTCTGTCATGGTGGCTGTCTCCATGATCCTCCATCTGCCTGCACGGACCGAACTCTATAGAACAGTTTGGTTCGGCTGGGAAACCTTGGATGTTCTGTGTCTGCCGGACCCGGTTCTAGAGAGCAGTCATTGTTGCCTCGGTCGTTATTATCATCATGCTGTTAAAGGGACCGCGCTGCTAACAGTACCGTGGTGCTAACGGGACCATGGTGCTAACAGTACCGTGGTGCTAACGGGACCGTGGTGCTAACAGGACCGTGGTGCTAACGGGACCATGCTGCTAACAGTATCATGCTGCTAACAGTACCATGGTGCTAACAGTACCATGGTGCTAACAGTACCATGCTGCTAACAGTACCATGGTGCTAACAGTACCATGTTGCTAACGGGACCATGGTGCTAACAGTACCATGCTGCTAAAGGGACCGCGCTGCTAACAGTACCATGCTGCTAAAGGGACCGCGCTGCTAACAGTACCATGGCGCTAAAGGGACCGCGCTGCTAACAGTACCATGGTGCTAATGGGACCATGCTGCTAACAGTACCATGGTGCTAAAGGGCCCGCGCTGCTAACAGTACCATGCTGCTAACGGGACCATGCTGCTAACAGTACCATGGTGCTAAAGGACCCGCACTGCTAACAGTACCGTGGTGCTAATGGGACCGTGCTGCTAACAGTACCATGCTGCTAAAGGGACCGCGCTGCTAATAGTACCATGGTGCTAACGGGACTATGGAGCTAACAGTACCATGCTGCTAACAGTACCATGGTGCTAACGGGACCATGCTGCTAACAGTACCATGGTGCTAAAGGGCCTGCGCTGCTAACAGTACCATGCTGCTAACAGTACCATGGTGCTAACGGGACTATGCTGCTAAAGGGACCGCGCTGCTAACAGTACCATGCTGCTAACAGTACCATGCTGCTAACAGTACCATGCTGCTAAAGGGACCGCGTTGCTAACAGTACCATGGTGCTAAATGGACCGCGCTGCTAACAGTACCATGCTGCTAACAGTACCATGCTGCTAACAGTACCATGGTGCTAACGGGACTATGGTGCTAACAGTACCATGCTGCTAACGGGACTAAGGTGCTAACAGTACCATGGTGCTAACGGGACCATGGTGCTAACAGTACCATGCTGCTAACAGTACCATAATGCTAACAGTACCATGCTGCTAACAGTACCATGCTGCTAACGGGACTATGGTGCTAACAGTACCATGCTGCTAACAGGACTATGGTGCTAACGGGACCATGGTGCTAACGGGACCGTGCTGTTCTAAATGTATTCCTTTTTCACTTTTGGTACCTTGTTTTTGTATTCTTGTTGCAGGCTTGGTATTTCATGTTGTTTATTTGGTAAGTCGAGACGGTTCTTCTTGTCCTGAAAGTTTCATTGCATCGCTGACCTTGTGTTGACCTGCGTATGACAATAAACCTAACCTAATCTGGGGTATTATTTCAGAATTACTACCTCAAATCAAATTAGAAATCCAATTCAGAAAGCTGTGTGCGGGAGACGTCCGTTTCTCTGATATATTAGACTGGACTGTTTCTCACGAGACACAACCTGGATCTAGTATAGACACACATACGCAAACTAGAACAATAAATCAAATACTAAGTAACTGTATATCTGTTGTGTTTTCACAGAAAATGTGACACAATTTGTAATAATTTGGTGGTTAGCGATGCAGGAAATTGTCCGCCCCACTAATATTTTTTCTCACTGTCATTGATGCAGGCAAGTTTCATGTACAATTTAAAGTCCTGATGCTTGAATCCACCTCCCACACACACCTTGTGTTTCTCCAGAAACTCGGGCGTGAGAGTCCAAGGTGCGTCTCTCAGAATTTCATCGATGTAGCGGCAGTGTCTCAGCGCTTCGTAGCGTTCGTGCTCCGTCATGACGGTGAAACCCTTGTACTTGTGGGTCAGCTCATCGCTGCAAACTGTGCAACAGCAGAAACAAGAGTCAGCTCAAACAGATTAAATCAGCTGGATGAGTTTTTCATGTATTGCTTGGAGGGTCTAACCTCCAACGATGAGGTAGGTGTTTGGGAAAAGGTTCTTGGCCTGCATGAGAGCGCGAGCGTGTCCAGCGTGGAACAAGTCAAAGATGCCGTCTGCGTAGACTCTCACAGGGCGATCCACTAAAAAATAAAATTTACCGATCGTAGGAGCTATTTTATCTTTTTCACATTTGAAATGATTATAATTTGTTTAATTCCTTTAGGATTATTTTTTGTTGTAAAATATTGTGTTAGTATTTGGAACATTCAAGACACACAATCTGGGAGCAGTTCTAGAGGTTCAAAGGTCACCAAACTGAGAAAAAGGAAGAAGATCTGCTACAAACGCTAGAATGCATCAAGACAAGTTAAACGTGATCAAGGCTAAAGGTATTTGTTTTGGTTGAAAGTGTGTCACACAAGCAGATGTTGCAGGAATGGTTTCATGTGCGTCATGAAAAGCACCCAGGAGTTCTTCATATAGAGCGGCAGGAGGAAGGTGCATCCTCAGGACAAACCCGCCCGGCACCAAACAGACGTGGCAACGTCTCCACAGCAGCAACTCAGACTCGTGGCCATAGTGGGGTCGGAACAATAAACTGTACAAAACATCAAAGTTCATGCGCAGTAGTCCAGGTCAAACTGTACAAACTGTGCATTTTTGGACCCTGGAAGTTCTGGTATGTTTTGCACAGAAAATCTGACTTAAGACGTTGAATTTGAGGGGTTAAAAGAAAAATATTCGACTAAGAACAATGGGTCAGAAGAAAATTGTCAATACCCACATAGTATTATCTGGCTCACCAGTAAGTGTCTGGTTTTGGAGTTAACAACTTTGTCAAACTCCTCAGGACGTGCTGATAAATCAGTGTAACCACGACTTTAATGAAAAGAGGAACAGATTGAAATGTCCAGAGAGGATTTCACTTCATGAACATTGTTGATAGTGATGACTTTTGGTTGTTCCATTATCTGTAAGCCATAATAATCAAAGTTACAAGAAATAAAAGCTTGAAATACACGGCCTGGCGAAAAAAAAAAGTCAACACCAAAAAAAAAGCTCACACTAGCTTTGATGACATCATGCATTCTCTGTGTCATTGTTTCAATAAACTTCTTCAATGTCACAAGATCTGTTTCATCCAGTGTTGCATTAATGTTTCACCAAGATCTTTCACTGATGACGAGACACTGGTCATGATGGTGCATCACTTCACCTGCCTCTCTTCTGACCCTGATGCTCCATCACTTTGGAACAGGGTCAGTCTGGACTCATCAGACCACATGACCTTCTTCCATTGCTCCAGAGTCCAATCTTTATGCTCCCTAACAAATTGAAGTATTTTTCCCAGTTAGCCTCACTGGTTAATGGTTTTCTTAAGGCTCCACAGCTGTTCAGTCCCAGTCCCTTGAGTTCCTTCACATTGTGTGTGGAAATGTTCTTACTGTCTCTATGAACCACAGCCCTGAGTGCTGCTGGTGTTCTTCTTCCATTTGATTTCACCAAACGTTTAAATGATCACCATCATTCAGGATTTATTTCCGGCCACATTTCTTCCTGGAAGACGATGGGTCCCCACTGTCCTTCCAGTTTTTAATAATGTGTTGGACAGTTCTTAACCCAGTTTTAGTTTCTACAATCTCCTGAGATGTTTCCTCTGCTTGATGCCAATGATTAGACCCTTCTCAAACAGACTGACATCTTTTCCACGACCACGCCATCAACATGGTTGTTTAAGAAGCGAGAAGCAACTCATTGAACCAGTTGGAGTTAAAGAACTTGTTGCAGCTGAAACCTAATCGTCCGTGGACCTGTTTGATGAGTTACATCCAGGTGGAGACTTTATTTTGGCCAGGCAGAGTTTTTCACTGTGTGTAATACATGACTTTCACTTTCTGAAATGATGAACGTTTTCACGGTATTTAATTTTTTTAGATGCGCCTGTACGCTGGATTCTGACTCTTGCATAAATGCAGTACGGAGGTTTGTCTGTGGAAGAAGCCCAGTCTCAACCATTAGGTCTGATGATGTCACAAACTTTGTTGGCGCAAACCAAAAGTGTGGCTCAACTGATTCATGCCTAAACTATATGTTTGAGTCACTGATGGCATAAAATGGATCTTCAACATACCAGCAGCCTCTCAGCAAGGTGACATTTAAGAGTGCATGATTCGATCGGTAAAGGCTGTTCTTGCCTCAGTTCTGAAAGAGCAAGCGTTGGATGATGGACTCCAAACAATCTGTTGTGAGGTTGAAGTCATATTAAATGACCGATCCGTCACAGGTTTCAGATGATTCAAATGATTTGGAAGCTGTCACGCCCAGTCGCATCGTAACACTGAAGAACAAGCCCATCTTACCACCAGGGCTGTTTCACCAACGGGATCTTTGTGTCAGAAAGAGATGGACTCGTGCACAATACATGGCAGAGCTATTCTGGAAAAGATGGCTCTCTGAGTACTTGCCTCTGATGCAAGAGAGACAAACATGGACTGAGAGAAAAAGAAGCCTTGCTCCAGGAGACACTGTCCTGATTACAGACTCTGCAGCTCCAAGAGGATCTTGGATCATGGCATTGACCTTCAGTGTTAATCAAGATGCAGGGGGCTTAGCTCGCTCCATGCACATACAAACGAAGACCAACGTTCTGGAAAGACCAGTGACAAAACTTCTGTTGCTGCTGGAGGTAGTTCACTGTAACATCTTGGATTGATGATGATTATTATTATTGCAGTATCTCGGGGTTTTGTTCACGAGTGACACGAGTGAGGGAAGAATGAAGCATGAGATTGACAGACGGATTGGTGCAGTGTCTGCACTATTGCACACTTTGTGCCGGTCCATTGTGGTGAAGAGGGAGTTGAGCTGTAAGACAAAGCTCTCCGTTTATCAGTCGGTCTACGTCCCTCCCCTCACCTCTGGTCATGAACTCTGGGTAGTAACAGAAAGAATGAGATCGTGGATCCAGGAGGTTGAAATGAGTTTCCTCTGCATGGAAGATGGACTCTCCCTTAGAGACAGGGTGAGAAGTTCTCCCTGAAGATCTGGAAGAGGTGGCTGTGGAAAGAGATGTCTGGACCTCCCTGCCCAAGATGCTGCCCCCGAGACCTGATGATGGATGGATGGATGGATGGATGGATGGATAAAATGGCCGTTTTCAGGACTTTACTGTAAATGTTTGTACAATTAGGGGCCAGAGTGCAGGAGCACTTTTATCTTTTCAATGTTTGAAATAATTATAATTTGATAATTCCTTTGGGATTACTTTTTAATTGTAATGTATTGTAAAATGTTATGTTAGTATTTGAAGGAAATTCTGTTTTGTTTGTTTGCTTGATAACGAAGGTAAAGACTGTGGGAACTGTAAATCAGTGAGCAGGTGTCGGACCAGCATGCAGTGGGTGAATCTTTTATCAGCGCAGAGAAGAAGGAGCAGGAAGTGCAGACGTTTGTTTGCCGCTTGATGAAAAGGATTAAAACCACCATCAAAGGAAATAATCTTGGTTTGGACATTGGACTTGTTTGTGCCCCGTCGTGGCAGCGGCCTTTGGATCTTTTAATTAGTTTGAGTTTGAGAGAAATCACCGCTACACAGACCAGCTCAACTCACAGTTGGTGTTTACACCTGGCAACAAAAGGAACACGATAGATTTTTCACACGCCTGTTAGCAAAATATCTGACATAAGGTAGATTCAGTGGAGCAGTTCCAGAGGTTACAGGAAAGGCAACGTAGCAGTGCAGAAAATCAAATGTGACGATGGAGGAAGTGTACCTGGGGTTCCTCTGCGGGCCTGAGCGATGCTGAGCTTCTCATGAGGCGCACGGCAGTCGCAGCTTGTCTCCCTGGCAAAGATGGCGGGCTCTGTGAGAGTCTGAGACAGAAAGTGACCTGGTTATATGAAAGTGTGTCGGGGGAGGCTGATTAGGTTTCTTACAGAAGCTAACGTTCCCTTGTGGTCCATTGTTTGTGCTCTTTTCTACACCCTCCTCCTCCATTAGGTTAATGATGCTCAGTTCAGCACTGAGTGGAAAAGTCCAGCAGAGCTGCACGTATTGATCAGACTGAGCTGACGTTCACTCCTCTGCAATCATCTGAGTGAAACGTACGAGCCCACCGTGCAGCAGGGAGGGTAAAGGATGGCTTCTTGTGTGATACACTGCACAGACGTGCAGCTATAGGACACCACAGGAAGGACAACAGAGATAAGATATGGCAGAAAGGTGCCAGGACCGTTTCAAGGTCAAAGTGCTGCAGTGAGAGCCTTCCTGAAAAACTGTCGTGTGTGTGCCATCTGTTGACTGCAGAGAAAACTCTCTGGACAAAGAGCCAGTGCTGAGCAGAGACTGGTGGGAGAGTGAGAGGAGACGGAAAACACAATAAACAGGTTGAGTCCGTGGAGACGAAACAGAACCCTGACGTCAGAGCTTCCTCTGGGAGCAGCAAGGTGAACAAAAGCTGACAGCACATGTTTCACACGGTCTGAGCAGGGAGCAGAAACTGGACCGGTTCTGCAGATCTGAACAGTTATAATCACGCAGTGCTCGCCTCGATGACGCTCTGACGCGTATGAATTTGTTGTTTTCCTGTTTTCTAACCACTCCTGCAGACTTTCTTATTCTAGTTCTGTCAAAACGTTCAGCTCATTCACGAGAAGGCTGTTAGGACTTTAGCTTTTTGTTGGTTTTCTACTTTTAAAAATATTTCACTTTATATCTGCCCTTTAGAAATAGATTGAGAACTCTTCAGTTCTTTCAAAAATATCCTTCTGTTTGAAATCTGCTTTAGCATACTTGTGTTATTTTTGTCTTCCTGTGCTACTTTTAGCCTTTTGCTACTTTTGGGTTTTAACTAGCTTTTTGCTACTTTTGGGTTTTAACTAGCTTTTTGCTACTTTTAGCATTTAGCCTTTTGCTACATTTA